TAATTCGGACTTTAGAAGATATGTTTAGGGTATGTGTGATAGATCTAGGAGGTAGTTGGGATCATCACTTGTCATTGATTGAGTTTTCATATAACAACAATTATCACTTTAGCATCGAAATGACACCTTATGAGGCTTTGTATGATCGGAAGGACGGATTGCTAATATGTTGGAAAACAGCTAGAAAGAAGGAGCCTTTAAGGGCGGAATTGATTCGGATCACTATAAAAAAGGTGAAGTTGATTTAAGAATGCCTTAGGACTACATATAGTAGATAGAAGAGTTATGTAAATCCCAAGAAGAGACATATGGAGTTTCGAAATGGTGACTTTGTGTTTCTTCGAATTTCTCTAATGAAAGGAGTAATTCAATTTAGTAAGAAAGAAAAGCTGAGCCTAAGATATATCGGACCATTTAAAATTATTGGTTGAATAAGAGCTATGGCTTATGAGTTGGCGTTATTGTCATAATTTTCAAGTGTGCATCCATGTTTCATATTTTTCGACTAAGAAAATATGTACTCAACCCATCTCATATCTTGGAACTCGCAATTGATTGAGTTAAATGCTAACTTGTTTTATGAGAAGTAACTAGTGGTAGTAGTAGACTCGTTAGGTTAGAAAATTGTAAAATAAAGGGATTGTCTCGTTAAGATCGTTTGGAGGAACCATTTGATAGAAGAAGTCACTTGGGAAGCCGATGGGAAAATGAAGAGGAAATATCCTCATTTGTTCGTCTACTAAGGTTCGGGTGGACTTAAAATTTGAGGATGAATTTTCTTTAGGGAAGAGAATGTAATAATCTAAAAAAAGGGTGGTATAAACGGAGCAATACCTTTCCCTCCCTTCAAGAATTTTCTTTTCTTTTCCTCTCCCTCTTCGTGCATTTTTCTCCCATTTTCTCCCAACTCCCTTCTTTAATTTCTAAGCTAATTTCGATTAAATTAGCTTATGATAATCATAAATTAATTGATTTAAGTGGTGTTTAGCTAGCTTGAATCTTGAGAAGCTTAGAGAGCGATGATTGCTTTGGGATTTGAAGAGCAAAGTATGAAGGTAAGAGTTATGATTAATTAATCTTTGAATTGAGATGTTTATATGTGGTTGATGATGATATTAAAATACAATTGCTTTGGGTTTGTTGAATACTTAAGAAATTGATTAGAATAAGGTTAGGGCTTTGAGACTAATTTGGAGAAAAGATGATTCTAAGTGATTATAATGACTTATAATTATTTTGGATAAGTGAATTAAGACGTTAATTTAAAGTGGAATTAAGTGAATTTGAGAAATTGAGATGTTGAAGATGATAAAGAGTGAAAAATGTGAATTTAGGTTTTAATTGGAAATAATTTTAGGAAAAAAAAGGAATTAAGTTATAAAGGTATAATTAAAGGATGAATTAGAATAAAATTGATCATTTAATTGAATTAAAAATTGATTGATTGAAGGTTTATTGTTTAAGGAATGAGTTAAAGATTAATGATAGAATGTGATTAGATGATTGTTTAGAATCAATTGAGAGATTATAGAATTTAGTTAGGTTATCGATTTGAGTCTTTCGACTAATGCTATTTTATTGATCAACTTGTATCATGTTTCAATAATAATTCATTGTTTTGAGTTATGCCTTAATGTATGGTATTGACGGATCTTTCATCATTTTGTGATGCTAGATTCTTCGAAGCGAGCAACTCCTTCGTAACCACCTTAATCCGTTCAAATTCATTTGATTCGTTATTTGTACTATAAGTGGATATTATATAGCACATTGTGTTTTATATTCTTTTAATTGTACTCATCGTGCGTCATTTTTTAAGAATAATTTAAAATGATTTCGGTAGAACTTAGATAGAAACAAACTTCATAATATTTGAAATGTTTTCGTATCAAAATGCTTTGATATAAATGGAAAAAGAGATTTCAATGTGTTGGGCGGATGTGTTATCGAAATTGATATGTGATTTCGAATTTAAATGAATGAGTTATATTCATTATTTTGAGTATCCGTATAATTTTTGAAAATATATGTATTGTATTTGAAATACTTGGTTTGAAAAATATATAAGTATGTTTGGTTTTCGAGACCTTGGAATACCTAGTTACCGGGAGGGAAAGCTTTGAGCTTAATGATACGAGGCTCCGGCTAGCGGGAGAGGTACGATGTTAGCCGTGTGTCGACCAACATACAAAAAACTAGTAACGAAGGGCATGACCTTTTGGTGTTCGCACCTAATGATATGTTATTATCTCACGGGTGTATAAAACCTACATATGAGTTTTCATATGAATACAATATATGTATGATAAGTGTTTCAATGATTTGATATGAAATGATTTCGAACCATTTGATTTATGATGCATGATATGTTTTATGATATGCATGTGTTTCGAATAAATAAACATTGCATTTTGAAAAGAATTTGAAAGTATCGTCCTTCGTCCGTTTTCCTCCCATAGTATGTTAGATGATGTCCGTTCACTAAGCTATTGATTGCTCATCCCTCATTATTTTTGTCTTATAGGGTATTGAAGGATTGCTCATGGCTTCTTTTTGGCTACTTGATTCGAAGTTGGCACTTTGATTCTGCAACTTATTTTAATTGTGATTTCTTAGAACCTATATTGGATTTGTTGTATTTCGAAGCTTTATAGTTATAGTTGTGAGTGTTGTGGTAGAAGTTGATTATGACTATTGATTTTGGATATTGAAATAAAAATAACATTGAATTATGCATTGTATCAAGATTGTAAAAAATGTGTATTAAATTATGATAATGTTAATGGAAATGATATTGAAAGTGATATTGATTTGAGGACTATAATATAAGTTCAATAATGATTTGAGAATTTTAGTTTACCATACAAGGCTTGCTTAGGTCGAGGTGGGCCTCACGATCCCCTCAATTTTCGCGGCGATTATGGCCCACTCTCGGAGTCGTGGCATTTTACTATTTTTAAATCAACATACATTTCATATTATAATATTTTTATAGTTTAAAATGAATTCATCCGAGTTTATTGTTTCATATTATAATATTTTTATAGATTTTGGAGTTAAATTTTAAAATGTGATCATCTCATTTTTTTAAATAAAATAAAATAAAATAATTTATATGATGAATTCTTATGATTTTTAAATGAGAATGACATTATTATTATTATTATTACGCGTGTGTGTATACATGTATGTATGTATAATCTAAAGCTTACGATTGTATTTTAGATGGTTTGTCTCAAAAATTTTTTAAAAAATCTAAATAATTAATTAATATTAAAAGTAAAATGAGAAAAAAAAAGAGAAAATAATTCTTTTGCATATGAGGTACGTATACAAGGACTAGTTATGTATGACCTAAAAACACAAAAGATATATATATATATATATATATATATGAAATTCACGTGTTTTATCTATATTATATAATAATATTAAATGACATATAGTTTTCTACTAAAATATTTGTTCATCTATGTAAAACATAAATTAAATTAAATAATATGATAAAATACTATATTAATATACGTAACAAAAAACAACATAAAATTTAAACAAATATATATTAATATAAATCAAATCTAGCAGCAACGCAATTTGTCAAACACTAGTTAGATTTATTCTATATATAATATATAACAACTGGAGTTTAATTATGTTTTATTTTTTAAACAAAAGTGAAAATCCTCGAATTGAAATGAGCTAAATTTATTCTAGCTAGGCTGGCTACTCTCATAGACTTCATAATTTATTTGTTCTATTATTTAGAACAAATAACGTATCTTTGCAGTAACACATCTTTTAATAGTTATTACACTACTCTAGTAACAAATATCTTTAATTTTATTTTTTTATTTAAGATTCATGAAACTGGTTTTTATCGTACAATAAAAAAAAAGACACCTCTGTATTATTCATTTTCTTGTATGAAATTTAAATAATTATATATAGCAAATGGTCAAAACACTATTTTTCACTTCGTCTCTCAGTCATATCACTGTCATATGATTTTGTTCTGTACAAACCTTTTTTTTTTTTTTTTTTTTTTAAGATTTAAGATTCATGAAACTGGTTTTTATAGTAGAATAAAAAAAAAAAAGACACCTCTGTATTATTCATTTTCTTGTATGAAATTTATATATATATATATATAGCAAATGGTCGAAACACTATTTTTCACTTCGTCTCTCAGTCATATAACTCTGTCATATGATTTTGTTCTGTACAAATCTTTTTTTTTTTTTTTTTTTCCACATAGGATGTAAGTCTTTAGTCTTATGAATTAAAATAAGTTTTTTTTTTAAATTTTTAAATCACGACTTTAGTAGAGTTCGAATAAATTACGATTATCCTTTTAAATATTATAAAATTACACAAATCACATAGAAGTTTGAAAATATAACTAAAATCTCCTCAATGTTCAAGAAGTATTGGCAAAAATCCCACTTACTCAAAATGCTTTTCCAATGTCCTTATAAATTTTAAAATCACCTCTTCAATATTAAAGACATTTGAGCATAAAAAGAAGTTTTCGTAGTCATTTTAAATTTCTAAATAATTTATATAATTTCATGGTGACTTAATTTTATTGGAATTTACCTTATAGTTAATGATGCATTATCAAATAATTAAGAAATTAAAAGTTGAATTCTCAAAAAATGGATCAGTCCTCTGTGAGCCGTCCATCCCTAAATATCAATAATAATAAATAAAAATAAATAAATTAGGCTATAATGTTTGTGGTGTTGGGAACTGTAAAATATTTGTAAGAGGCCACCTGTTAATCTTTTATGGACAACTCACAACAAATATTAATGATTTCATAAGCCGAACCATTGCCGACACATAAAAAAATTAAAAAAAAAAACCCAAAATCAGGATTAATTTAATTTTTTTCCCAGCCTCTCTACTTAATTGATCATTTGATATGCATATTGTATTCATCCAAAGAACGATGCTGTATTTTTTGCCTTCAATATCACCTTGTTAGACCTAATTGATAGGTTTATAAAAAGAAAAACACAGAAAGAAGAGAACAAGTACGATGACTGGATAGCACGGATAAAGAAAAAGAAAATGACAAAGGCGGAGCGAAGGCCAGTTATTAATTTGGGCTCCAGAAAAGGAACAAAAAAATTCCGCTGCCGGGATTTGAACCCAGACTTCAGAGCTAGTTGAAATTGCCAATGTACTACAGCGGATTTGTTGTTCACGTGAGACAGCAAAAGCATTTTAAATGGATGAAGTATATTTTTTTACCCTTTACAAGTCAAATAACTACGAACATATTTGTTAAGGAATTTTAAGAAGTTGTTTTTTTTTTAATCATGAAATTTAAGACGTTATTTGTTACTCATACAACCATGTTATAGACGACTAGACCGACTTTTTTCTGAGGACAACAAAAAATAATAATAATAAATCAATATTTTTCTTTTTCTTTCTTGTTTAGTTTTAAGCCATCACAATGGCATATTTAAGGATATATAAACCTTCAAATTTATACTCTACCATAATATAATCACTGTTTTTTCTCCTCTTTTCCCAACTATTGTATTTGCGTATTTAGAAAATTTAAACTACAATGTAAATTCTTTACAAATTACAACATATTAAACTTTGTATTTTTATCATTAAAATTAGATGTTTCGAAACTAAAGATTGCTCTAAAATCAATTTTAATAAATTGAAACTAAATCTTCTTATAACCATTTAAAACCTAAATGGCAATACAAGTAGTAAATTCACTTATGAATCAAACTAAACTAAATCAATTTCGTATTATATTTTACAATTTTTTTTTTTAAGATAAACATGGCTAAGGAGTATTTCTCAATGAATGGTCTTAAACAATTTACAGAATAAATTCTTAAAAATACTAATTATAAAGATCAAATTTTAGATTCAACTTATAAATTAATGCTTGCTTATTAGCTGATTACATGTATTTTCCTATGGAGTGTGTGCTCATGTTTTAATTCCTCGATGATCCATATATATATATATGTATATAAGAAGAGCTTGTAACGGCATCGTTTTAGCAACGGTAATCAATAATTGAGCAAAAGTTCTCCTCAGATTCAGACACCAGACCAATAAGCTACAGCCATCTCAGCTCGAACACGAATTCCTCTCTCCGTCACCTCCATTTCTTCCCAGTTCAAACTCCACCTGTCTCTCTTTGTTTTTTACTTTCTTCGTCAGATCTCTCCTTCTCTACTCGATCTCACTGTACAAACCGTACCTTACAGAACAACACCTCTCCTCACCATGGCTCCTCCGGCACAAACTAACCGATCTCCGTCACCGTCACAACCATCCGGGTAAGTAAAAAAAACAAACTCAACTCAATTCTCCACCCTTTAATTTCACTTTGATTACAAAATCCCCGCCAAACATTTCATTTTTTTTCAACACAGAAAAAGCGAAGTCACCGATTTAAAATTGCAACTCCGACAACTCGCCGGAAGCCGACTCCCCGGCGTCGACGATTCAAAACGGGAACTATTCAAAAAAGTAATCTCATACATGACGATCGGAATCGACGTGTCGTCTGTATTCGGCGAAATGGTTATGTGTTCAGCAACATCAGATATTGTGTTAAAAAAGATGTGTTATTTATATGTTGGTAATTACGCGAAGGTTAATCCTGATTTAGCTTTATTAACAATTAATTTCTTGCAAAGAGATTGTAAAGATGAAGATCCTATGATCAGAGGACTTGCTTTACGGAGTTTGAGCTCTCTTAACGTTGCGAATTTAGTTGAGTATTTAGTTGGGCCATTGAATTCTGGGTTGAAAGATAACAATAGTTATGTTAGAATGGTTGCGGTTATTGGTGTTCTTAAATTGTATCACATCTCAGCTAGCACTTGCACTGATGCTGATTTTCCTGCGGTTTTGAAGCATTTGTTGCTTAATGATCAAGATACTCAGGTGAAATTGTTGTTTTAATTGCGCTCACGTTGTTCATTTTGATAAACAAGAAGTGATTAGGTTGAATGTGAGTGTCATGTAGTGTTGATTTTGGGATTTGTTGTTAGGTTGTCGCAAATTGTTTATTGGCATTGCAAGAGATTTGGAGTGGAGAAGCTAGTACATCGGAGGAAGCATTAAGGGAGAGGGAGACTTTGCTTAGCAAGCCGGTTATATATTACCTTTTGAATCGGTATGTTTTGTCGAGGATTTGTTGAAATAAAAATGAAATAGAATGTATAGTCTTGATTATAGTATCCATTGCTAGAGAGGTTGTACCTTCGTTATAATAGTTCTGATTAGATTTTTGATGTTTTTTTATTGGCAGGATTAAGGAGTTTAGTGAATGGGCACAATGTCTTGTGCTTGATTTGGTTGTGAAATATGTGCCCTCAGATAGTAATGAGATATTTAATATCATGAATCTTCTTGAAGATAGACTTCAGCACGCGAATGGTGCTGTCGTTTTGGCAACCGCTAAGGTGTTTCTACATATGACTTTGTCCATGACTGATGTTCACCAGCAGGTGCTACTGAAAATTCCTTTTTTGTCTAATTTTTGAACCTACAGAGCATGTAAACTGTATATTTATTTGTTTCTTGAACAGAAAACATCTTGCATGTATTCACAGGAGTGAGGTGTCATTGTTGGGAAACTTGTTTTATGGTCTTACTTTATTAACACTCAGAAAAAAATTTATGTGAATCTACTTTGTTTGAATTCATCTGTAATGCATTTTCTATGAAGGCTGAAATTCACATAATAATTATATTGTATGGTTTTGCTGTGGTGTAGATACAAAGAATTTAAGAAGTTAAGCTACTGTATTGTCCAAATTTTTAGTTCAGGCATCAGAAATAAAAATCTCTTCTAGTTATTTATGTAGAACACGTTGACCATGTTGAATCACCTGAGATTGCCTCCATGAATAACTATTAAAGTGTTGTGATTTGTAGTTGTGCAATATTAACAATTCACTTTGGGGATTAACTGCATGGTTCTCCTTTGAGTTCCTTCTTTATCCTTGTAACATTTCTACTACTTGATAGTTATTTTTCGAGGCAGTTGGTACTTTAGGTCCAGCCTATTATTAAAAGTCAGATCTATTATGGGGGTAGTGAATCTGATTATTTTAAGAGTATCATTGTGGCTGTAATGTCACTCCCAACTTCTATTGTCTTAGAATGATCATGCCTCGTATTATATTACTTTGATAACCTTTACCAGACCAATATTTTACTGATGAAAGATTTTGTTGATTAGGTGTATGAACGTATTAAAGCCCCTCTGCTTACCCTAGTGAGTTCTGGAAGTCCAGAACAATCTTATGCAGTTTTAAGCCACCTCCATCTCTTGGTGATGCGTGCACCATATGTATTTTCCTCAGACTACAAACACTTTTATTGCCAGTACAATGAGCCATCTTATGTCAAAAAGCTGAAGCTTGAAATGTTGACTGCAGTTGCAAATGAGAGCAATACTTATGAAATTGGTGAGCATACAGATTTTCAGGGTCATTCTGCAGCCTATCTGGCAAAATTTGAATAGGCAAATCTATATCCTAACCACTGATCCATGTCCTTGTTGAGTCAATTTCAGTGACCGAGTTGTGTGAGTATGCTGCCAATGTTGATATTCCTATTGCAAGAGAGTCAATTCGGGCTGTTGGAAAAATAGCATTGCAGCAGTATGATGTGAATGCTATTGTTGATAGGCTTCTTCAGTTTCTGGAAATGGAAAAGGACTACGTGACTGCTGAAGCTCTGGTAAAAAAACAACTCTTTGCAGGTTCAGTTGCACAATATCAAGACTATAAACACCTGCATACTGCTTCATAGATTCCTTGAGAACATACGTCATGCAGGCAAACAAACAGTTATCCTTTGTTTGACTATAACTATGAGCATCAGATTGACATGCTGGGTTTTGATATTCAGGTTCTTGTTAAGGATCTTTTAAGGAAATACCCTCAGTGGAGTCAAGATTGCATTGCAGTTGTTGGGAATATCAGCAGCCAAAATGTTCAAGAACCGAAGGCCAAAGCAGCTCTTATATGGATGTTAGGGGAATATTCTCAAGACATGAGTGATTCTCCTTATATCCTAGAGAGTTTAACTGAGAATTGGGATGAAGAGCATTCTCCAGAGGTAATTAAATTTACTCAAATTATTCTTGGCTTGCCGTGTTTTTTCCCATACCTTTACATATACATCGTTGGCTAAATGATCTTAGCTCTGACATCTTTTTTTCTCGGTGGATATAAGATTTCATTATACAGAAAAGGGGCATAATTTGCCTAATCTTCCATGGGCAGAACTGTGATTGAATTTCTTCTGGCTTTCCTTATTGCAAAACTTTTTCATTAGAATAACACAGTACTGTCCGCCATGTAATTAATGAGTTATCAACATGTGCAGGTCCGTTTACATCTTCTCACAGCAGTAATGAAGTGTTTCTTCAAGAGGCCACCTGAGACTCAGAAAGCATTAGGAGCTGCATTGGCTGCAGGTCTTGCTGATCTTCACCAGGTGTGGGTTGATCAATATTAATCTTCCCATTTTATGTTTTCTGTGGATCAACATGTGTTATTTATCTTAGTTTTAACAATAGTTAGTTTTTAATCTAATGTTCAATTTAACTTACATTTGGCTGCAGGATGTCCATGACAGGGCCTTGTTCTACTACAGGCTATTGCAACACAATGTAACTGTTGCAGAACGTGTTGTGAATCCTCCAAAGCAAGCTGTTTCTGTCTTCGCAGATACTCAGAGCAGTGAAGTCAAAGACCGCATTTTTGATGAATTTAACAGCCTCTCCGTTGTGTACCAGAAGGTAACTGCTGTTTGCTGCCCTTAAGTACTTGGAATTAACTCATGCTCATTTCTTGGTTACCCATTGCCCTTTATCCTTTCGAATTGTTTTGAAGTTTTTGTTATGAAAAAGGGGAAAACACCCAAAAGGAAGTCAGATATCAGGAAGAAGAAATAGAGATAGAGGAGAAGGCTGATGTTGAACTGATTCTCTATTTCTAACGCTCCTTCAGATTGTGCCACATTTATTAAGAACAAAGAACCAACAAAGCAATCTGTGTAACATTCTAACAGCACTCGCTCAGCAACTTGACAACTGCCCACTAGTATATTCAAGTTTTTTTTTATTGTCAAATTGATATTTATTGAATTAGGTTCGACTGAAATTACTTCAACAAATTTTTGTTCAACTAGTTACAACCCACGTGCATTATTACCATCTTTAAATTTCTGCTTATGGTTAGTATCTCTGCAGAACAGGTGAAATTGTTTCAAGTTAGGTTTTGAATTAACTGACATGTGAAAATCTTGCAGCCCTCTTACATGTTCACTGATAAGGAACACCGTGGACCGTTTGAGTTTTCAGATGAGCTGGGCAATTTATCTATTGGGACAGAATCTAATGTTCCAGCTCATGTCGTTGAGGCAAATGACAAGGATTTGCTTCTAAGTACTTCAGAAAAGGAAGAAATTAGAGGTGCCGGTACCAATGGTTCTGCCTACACAGCTCCTTCATATGATTCTTCATTGATATCTATTGCTACACAAGCACAACCAGACTTGGCAATTTCAAACGCTGAAGTAGCTGGCCTGAGTCCACAGTCTAGCCTGGCCATTGATGATCTACTTGGTCTAGGTCTGCCTGCAGTTCCTGCACCAGCTCCTTCACCTCCTCCTTTGAAGCTTAATGCCAGAGCTGTCCTTGACCCCGGCACTTTTCAGCAAAAATGGCGTCAACTACCGCTATCTGTTTCAGAGGTTTACTTTATGCTTGTGAAATTGCTTGAATTCATTTTTTCGTTCGAACTCCTATTATAAGCCCAGCAGGATAAAAGTTGTGGTATCGAAACTTATGGATAGAATGAGATAGCTTTCTGATTCAGTATGTGTAGGCTTAATTATTTGCACTTGACACCACCAGATTCTTACTCATCTTTGTGATGGATCAAATATTGTTACAGGAACTCTCTTTAAGTCCTCAAGGAGCTGCAGCATTAACAACACCTCAGGCCCTTCTCAGGCACATGCAAGGCCATTCTGTCCACTGCATTGCATCGGGTGGTCAATCACCTAACTTCAAGTTTTTCTTCTTTGCTCAAAAAGCAGAAGAATCATCGATCTTTCTTGTAGAGTGTAAAATCAACACATCATCAGCTAAAGCACAAATAACTATCAAAGCTGATGATCAAAGCATGTCTCAAGCATTCTCAACTTTGTTCCAATCAGCATTGTCCAAGTTTGGCACGTCATGATTATCCATACAGTTTTTCACTCGAGGTCACGGTAGGTAGGTCTTTCTTTTTTTTGTTTCTGTAATCAAGAATGAAAAGTGAAAATTGAAATAACGAGAAAAAAATATCTTTTATTGGACAGCTGTAGATGGGTGTACAATGAGATAAAAAACAAAGAGTTCTTCCTTTTCGTTTTTTTTTCCAACATATTTATGGTTGCTTAAACTCCAGCTCAGTTTTACTCAAGCATCTTATAGAACCATGATGATTGTTGCATTGATTGTGTTACTGGGCTGGCCCTTTTTTCCCACCTCGATGTGTGATTGGTTTCCTTGGGTTGTTGTGTAAGAATCAGATCGGGGACACAAGTCATTTTAATTTCTTGGTGTCAGTAACACTGTGAAGCGATTCTTTGTGATCGAGATATGTTTGCAAAAGTTGAACGGTGGAGATGGAGTTGTCTTAGCTGTGCAACCATGCATCTCTCTCTCTTTCTCTGCCTTCCCTTCCCTCGAATCGGTTGGTTTCAGTACAGTGTTATGTATGATGGGAAGGGAAATACGGAATGGAGGCAGCTTTGCACCCAGCATTCGCTGTTTGGCGATAGCTGTTTTGGTAAGAAATGGTTAGAAAGACAACCAATCTGTTCTTATGGTTTAGTGTTGACAACAACTGTATGTTGTGGTTAGACTAGTGACAACTAAGTAGGGCAGGTCAAGCATAAACTTACAAGAACGAATTTGGCCCAAAATCGTGCTAGGGACGGAGACATACGCAGCCAAATTATGTCCCTAAGTGTACGTATGTCTCCTGTCCTGTTTTGGAACAAGAAGCAAAAGCTACCGAAAAGAACGATGAATGGTGCTTATAATATTCCTGGACCCTTTTCTTTTGTACCAGGGAAAATAAACACAAAACTGAAGGCATATTAGCGAATTGTACCTGACGAGCCTAGAGGATCTTTGATGTGTTCGAGCTAGGCTTAACAACGCTCCAGCTTGATATGCTTCGGTATTCAAGTTTTTAGCCGGTCTGATAAAATATGTAATTTTTTTTATCAAAATAATTTTAGTTTCATGGTATGTGCTATGTTATGAATATATCAAAATATATTAAATCAAAAGAAAAAAAAAATCCATTCAATTTTATGATTGTTTTAATCAAATTTGTATTTGACTAATCTTTGTATAATAGGTTAATTTTTCAATCTGTCAAAAAAAAAAAAAAAAACAACTTTAATTTGTCCTTATGGTTTGAGTTGATTTTTAATATATCATTTAAGTCAAATTTTTAGCAAATTCATTAGAAATTAATTGTCATGTTAGTACATATAAATTAAGTGTGTCAAATAACAAGGATAATTTTGTCAAATTACATATCATGTGTAAATCACATACTTAATTTTTGATGAATTGGCTGAAAATTTTAACTAAAAATTATAGATTAGAAACCAGCTATTTTTTTTTTTTTAAGGACACATTGAAAAATTAGGCTACCATATAAAGACAAGTGAGGGTATTAACCCATCATTCTTTATGTTTTTTGTTTATGAATTTTCTGCTAAAAAAATATGAATTTATTCTTCTTTATTTGGATTCTTAACTAAAAACTTGTAATAATCTAAAAAAATAAATAAAAAAATAAAAAATCTATGGATTTTTAAGTAAAAAATTATTTTGTAAATTTAATCTAGAGATTAAAAGTTTTTTTCAGATAATTTATCTCAAATTATATATATATATATATATCATTTAAAAATTCTAAGAATCCATCATATAAATTATATAATTTTTTTAAATAATTATATTCTAAAATTTTATTCAAAAATCTATCCATAGAGAAAAATAAATCATATTTTTCAATAAATAAATTTTTTTAAAAATAAAGAATAAAATTAGTTGAAAGAGGATCACTATAAGAAATGACAAACTAAAATAATAAAAATAATATAATATGAAATATAAGCTCATTTTAAAATATAAAAATCTATCATGTATTTTTTTTCGCCAAGTTACATGTGAAATCTAAAAAATAATAATTGATCTTTCATAATTTTTGTCTAAAAATCCATAATAAAAAACATAATAAAATAAATTATTGAAAAGAAAGGAAAAAACCTAGAGAACCAAGCCCACACATGCTCTAAACAAACAAAAAAACAAACAAAGCGAACGAGATGTCGTCCCTTTGCTGTGCAGCAAAAGACGTGTCATCCATTTTCAATTTCTGGCGAACTTTAATTCCCATGAAACGTCATCGGAAAAACAGGTTTTTAATTGTTGGCCTTTGTAAAGCCAATTCAGCATTGGTTTTTTTTTTTTTCCCCAAAAAACACCTCAAAAGTGTAGAAATAAGGCTAATAAAGTTGTTTAGAACCTCAAAACTCATTTTAATGCTCATAAAATATACAAAAATTTAAATCAAATTAAAAAATTTTAAAATATTTCGGATTCTCAATCTACTTTTTCTAAATATTTCATGATTTGTAATTATTATAAACAAGCTATTATCTTCAAAAGAAATAAATTGAAGCTGAGATGAAGAGTCAAAACGGTTGAAATGAGTCTCATTATAATTTTCTCTCTCCTAGTGTCATTTCCTTCCATCTCACAACTAAAGATTAAAACGTGATATAAATAAAGTTCTCTATCAAGAAATAAAATTTCTTGAAAAAATCAGAGACCAAAATACAAAATTCAGATAAAATTGCATATAAATTACTAAAAATAATTTTAAAATAACAAAAATGCCACTGCTCCATAAAACGCATAAGTGTTTTTTAATGTATGTAAATAATAATTTGCGAGATGTAAAACAGTAAAAACTGCAATGCTGTGTTTTTTCCAGTTCTTTTAGTATTTCAGGTAATGAGACTCAAGTTTTACTCATTCAAAATTTATTAGGCTTAGGCTCGTGGTTAACGAGTCTATAAACGAGCTAAACCTAAACTTTGACATATTTATGATGATATGGATTATTCCTTATTTCTTAGAATATATATATATATATAATCAAACGTAATAAAATATTAAAAATAAATATAAAACTTGTTTATTTTCCATCATTTTCATGACAAATTATTAATATATTCCAACTAAAAAAAGAAATAAACAAGTATCCAATAATATAAAGTAGGTTTTTCTATCACGAGTCCGAACATCACATGTTATTTGATGCAAATAGAATATTTTAATTTCCACAATCAACAATATCGAATCATGGATTATAATTTTGTTCAATTATGAAAGTGAATTATTTCATTTATATATTAATTAACGTGTGTCCTTAAGGTATACGATAGAAAAATCCACAGACACATATTTTTAAAAAAACCACATATATTTAGTAAATACTTAAATTTATATTCCATTGCATCTTAATTCCTTACTTCTTCTCTAATTACTTTCGAAAACTTTACTTATTTTTTCAGCTCTAAAATATCGTACATTTGCAATATCATAAAAAGTTTTATAAAAATAGTGTATTTGTGGATTTTTAAACCAAATATATTTATACTTTTTAAATCTTTCATGTAAGACCCATATATAATTGCTAAATTTATTATTAAATTTTATTTTATAAAAATAATATATTCAGTTACATATTAAATTAGTTTACTTCACGAATTTTTATACAGGATGTTTTTCTTTTCAAATTTTCACGAGCTTACAAATAAGCTTATTTACAAGCTTTTAAACTAGCTTGTTAACAATTGACATCGACAAAATAAATTAAAACAGGATGTATGTTTACTATTTAATTACTGTACATTCTACCGTGCACCTTCTCTCAAAACACGGTGGATATACACCTAGATGAATTATGCATTTTATTGTACAGTGGCATTTTAGTGATTTCTAAACTTTGTTCAGGCATTTTATATACAAGTTTGGCTAATGTTGCACTTTGGCACTAATTATTTTAGACAATTATGCTCAATTCCAAAGTTCATTTGTTTGACTATTTGGTCCTTGGTTGTAAGGAAGAGATAGAAACATTAGCATATAATGCATGAGGCTCATTCCTGCTATTTTGGCTCTTATTCTTGATTTTAATTTGTTTGTCTTGGAGAAGAGAGTCTGTTTATGGTTGTCAAAAAAGTATAAAAAGGTAGATTAAGACATAAAATATTTTGAGTTTTTTTAGTTTCATTTGAATTTTTATGTGTTTTAAAATGAGTTTTGAGATTTTAAACAGGTTTAATAACCTTATTTATGTGATTTTGAGATTTATGTGATTTTGAGATGTTTTTGGACCAAAACGATGCTGAATTTGGGTTAGGGAGGTTGGAAACTGAAAACTCAATTTATCTATGAACTCTAATTCACTGGAAATTGCAGTTAGACGACTCTTCGTCTGTTGTGTAGAGAGCCAACAACGTATTATTTGTCTTTTTCCTTTTTAAAAAACAAGTCTAGCATGCATAGCCTTAGTTCTCTAGGCACAAAGGGGCAAGCGTATGCCCCGGCTTTGTTCCTTTTTTTAGTATGGATTTTTGGAAGAAAATTATGAATGATCGATTGGTATTTTTCGAGTTTTCCATACAACTTGGCGAGAAAAAAAATGATATGTTTTTATATTTTAAAATGAACATATCTTTCAAATTATATTACTTTTATTATTTAAAATTTATTTCTTCAATTTGTCCTTCTTATAAAAATTCACATTTAATTAATTTCTTCGTTTTTTATATAAAAAAATTATTTACTAACAAATATGATTTATTTTTTTAGCGTGGATCTTGGAATACAATTTTAGAATATTGTTTTTAAAAAAATAAATTTATATGATGGATTTTTATAATTTTTAAATAACGAGTAACATAATCATGATGTTTTTATAAAAAAAAGATGATGATGATATTAATCTGAATATGGATATAAGTTGTTTAATTCAAATGGATAAACTAATTAGTTGACACAAAGTGACCTAACATGCATGCTCTAGGTCCTATTTAAGCAAGCATAAACCTCTAACACTATTGTCTTACTCATTTTATGATAAGGTTGTAAATAGATTGG